ACTCTACTTCTATACAATAATGGGAATATAATCATATGGATATATTGAATACTTGCGAACGTATTAGAGAAGAGAGAGTACGAAAACGCAAGCAAAATGATAATCTGTTCTACAAGAAAAGAAAAGAAAAGAAAACACCCGACAGAAATGATACAATTTCGATGCTACTTTTGTAGTCTGAACCTGGAAGTCTATCCGATTTTCAAACCACCCCAGTTCCATGTCCCCGTCGATGCTAAACTCTGTTCGTTCTTCTTCTATTCGCAACAACCATTGTTTTGTATCTTTTCTCATTCGTCTTTAGTTCCACGTAATGGGTCCATAACCTATCCTGACCATCCATTTGTTAGAGGACTGAAATACATGAAGTATCATGTGTGACAATACCGTTTGCACCTCATATGTAATAACAGTAACTTCAAAGAAATAAATTCCTCAAATCATAGAATATTACCTCAAACGCAAAGTCAAACGAAACCCTAAGATAGGTAGCTCCAGAGCATAAGACCAGCAGTCGAAGCATTAAAAAAAAAAAAAAAAAAGAGTCTATGGAATTATATAATTTTAAGAAAGCAATCACTGATCAGTAACAATCCCCTTTCAGACCATTTGAAAAATATTGAATAAACGAGGGGAAAATGTAACTAAATATATCATAATTCGTCTTTCTAGCCCATCATGCATGACAAAACATTTAAAGAAGATTGAGTATGATCAAAAGCATTGTTCATAAACCATTCTCAGACTTTTAGCAATTCATTTTAAGATCCAAAGGTACCAATCAATTATTTTCAAAGCTTCCAACAATTCAAATCATTTATTTTGAACACAGACGTTTCTTAAATATTAAATAATTCACTTTAAATATTTTGAATACAAATATGGATTACTTATTCGTATTCAAAGTTAAGAAAACTAGAGAAACACAGTTGTCATTACAATTTCCTTCCTCTCTTGCCGATGTCGAGGTCACAATTAATCATATTTCACCTTGCAACTAGCTATCAGGTTCTAAATATAACATGGTTATGGTTGCCCATACATAACCTCCTTTAAAGTGCCAGTTTATAACCCTAAAGATCAGGTCTAAAGTATCAATTTATAACCCTCTAAAATTAATTGAGTTCAAAACATCAATTTTCAAATTCCAATCAGTGATATCATATCATGAAATAAAACACATTCAAGTTCTTATTCAAAACATACTTGCAATCATAATAAAACACTTTCATGAATACTTTATATCCTTTTCATGTCATTCTGGAATCATATTCAAAATGCTTTCATATTTTTTATTAAATATATTAAACAAATCCTAAAAAGCCGGTAAAACTAACAAATCTTGTAATTGAGGGTAAAATTCTTTTCCAACGGATCTATTAAGCATTGGGGCAAATTGGTTCACATGTATTTTTTAGCACAATAAAATGATTTTGTAGCCCTTAAAAGAATATATATATATAACTTTTATCTAGGGTTTTTTTTTCTTTTCAATATTTTTGCTTAGTGAAATAACATTAGCACCCTTAAAAGCAAATAAAAAAAATATTAAAAACTTGCACAAAGGGGCATATTTGTTTTTTTTAAATAGTGAAGTCATGGAATTGCCATTAAAAAAAATATTAGGCTAGTTTCAAGGGTGTTCTAGTTTTTTCATTATGTTTTTTTTTTATATAATTTTAAGGTTCACTGAGGGGTTGTTTAATAATTTTTAAAAAAATTATATTATTAGAAAAAAATGTTAACGCTTCAGTGCATGGTGGCCATATACCTTTAGACAATGCATTCATGGTTTTGTTCGGTTACCAAAATCCACCATCCACAAAGGTGTTGGGAGTGATGCATTATTCTCGTTGCTTTGGTGGGGCGCATGTTCACAATAATGGTGAAATTGAGCTCTAATAATTTTTGTTTTTTATTTTCTCTTTGACCCTAGAAATTCACACTAACTTTTTCAAAAGTCTATTGTATCCTTCAATTTTTATTTTTATTAATTTTAGTTTTTATTCTTTTAATTATAATTTGTTTTATTTTCAATGCTTTTTGAAGTTATTTTTTTAATTTCATCTTTAGACATTTTATTTCATTTATTTTTTATCTAATTTAGTCCCTGTTTTTTTATTGTTTTTTTTTATGTTTTATCTTTTTCTTAATTATTTGCTTTAATTTCTTTTCTTATTATTTTATATGATTTAATTTTTTTTATCCGATTTTAGTCATCACTTTTTTTATTGATAATTTATTATCCTTCTCTTGAGGTTTTTTATTTTGATTTTATTCCTTAACATTTTATTTCATATAATTTCTTTATCCAATTTTAGTCCTTATTATTTTTATTGTTTTTTTTTAATTTTATGTTTCAACTTACTCTTTAGTTGTTTTCTTTTATTTAGTTTTTATACCAAATTTAATTTTTATTTTTTTATATGTTATTTTTTTTATTTTAATATTTTTTATGATTGAAGTTTACTAAGTGATTTTTTTTTTGTGTACCTTTTTATAAGGTAATCTAGGTTTCATAGTCCATATTTAATTTATATTTGTTTTTTTATTAAAAATTAGTTTTTTTTAAATTTATCATTTAATATTAGGTTATAGAACCCTGAGCTTTATTATTTGTTTCATTTTATTTTTATAAATTATCCTGAGTAACGGGTTAATTAAGTCAATATGATTGATTTGGACTTTTTTTCCTGATATTTTTTTATGAATCCTTTTATAATTTTATTATTTAATATTAAATTATTAGCCCTTAAACTTTATATCTTTTTTTTATGTGGAGTTATTTCAAGTATGAGTTAGTAAAATAACCCAAGTTAAAATCTAGGATTTACAAAATGAATAGAACACTACCGGACACCATAAAATTACTCTACTGGAATCTATTATATTTCCATTCATATTTATTTTGTCTAGTGAATCTTTCTATATGAATTATGAAACTACCTTGAAGGTTGTTGCCAGGCAGTCTGCACACCCTTCACTCTTTTAATAAACAATTCCTTTATGAATATCATATAAATATGTCATTTACGGTATTATTATAATCTAGACATTATAAGATTTCTATACATATATTATATGTGCCCACAAATAGCACCAAATAAGTGCGACCCTCTGCCAGCACCTAAATCCAATAATTTTAACTTTGCTTACTTGCTAATCCAATCATTTCAGACCCTATAATAACTATTCAATTTTTCCACCACAAGTCACCAACCCTTGCTAACAATAATTTTAACTATGTGTTCTCAGGTTCGAGTTTTTGGTTACTCATATGATTATCATTGGAGGCTTACATGGTCGTTAACTTCAGGGCCCGTGGGATTAGTCGTGGTGCGCGCAAGCTGGCCCGGACACCCACGTTAATCTAAAAAAAAAAAAAATAATAATAATGGGAGAATATACCAGCAGGGTCGTGACTCAGCGGCTGTTGGAGCTGCTTGCCTTCCTTCGAGCTTAGGTTCGAATCCTAGTGGGAGTGGGGTTGGCAAGTTGTTCCCTTCATGTTTCTACTGGGTCCTCTTTGTACGGTATGTCTGTCACCCCCGCGGTGCCTTACCTGTTCACTGGGCTTGCAGGATATTCAGTGGACCGTGAGATTAGTCGTGGTGCGCGCAAGCTGGCCCGGACAACCACGTTAATAAAAAAAAATAAAAAAAATAATGGGAGAATATTTTTGACCAAAAAAAATAGTAATGTGAGAAATTCATTGAAATTTTTTATATATTATTATTTCCCATCACATTTTTATGTGATTTTATGTACTCGACACAACAGAATCAAACAAATTTGGTTTAAAGAGACAAGAAATAACACAATCAGCAGCCACGTGTCTCTTTTTTCAACCAATGGAAGGGGAACTATAAGACAAATGACCACCCTACCATCGCTGAAAACGGTCCACCTCTTTTTATTCATTTATTTGTCCTAACCAAAAAGGCAAGTGGGTGCGTCTACTTAACACAATAAGGCTGTGTTTGGAAGACAGGACATGCAAGGTCGTTCGAATGAAAATAGAGAAGAGAGCTCGTCTCCTCTCCTCACTTTTTTACAGGATAAACAAAGGTTGGAAATTACTTCTTTCTGTTTCAAGAAGATGCACCTCAATCTAGATATGGACGGCTTGCCTACAAAATTTAGTTTTGATATATGAAAGCTAACTCGATGGTATCTTTATTGTCAAAACAATCTTTTATTCATGAAATAAATATTCAAATGTGAAAATGAAAACTAATTTATGGAAATAAATCTTTCTTAAAAATGTCTAATCCTTAAAAATAATTGCTCATTCTTCACTTTTTACACGACAAGAGTATAAATATCATCTTTATATTAGGGAAGAACCATAATAATTTGATATATTTTATAAATAGAATATTAGAATTGTGTAAAATATCATATCATATCTCTTAACACTAAATAAATAATTAAATTTATGACAAAATAGATATAAGATATTTTCCCTTCTTTTATACCGTCTCTAAATTATATATTTATACCGTTCAAATAATCACTCATCTTCTTAATAAAAAAAAATTTAACTTTTAAATTTTATAATCTACCTAAAACAGGTATAGAATTATATTAATATTTAAAGTGTTTGTTTTTACTGTGGTATAAATAATCAAATTCCTCAAATATAGTTATCTGATTACAAAACCTTAATTGATTTTATAATAAAAAAATCTAATATTGAAGAAGATTTATATAGGGGATATCTTGTATCATTTTCTTAAGTTTTTATTATTTGGTAATGTAAATGAAAATAAGAAGAGATTTCTTTTTATTGTCAAAATAATTATAATTAATTATCATTTAAAAAAAAGACACGCACGCACACACAAGCCTTTCAAATTCATTTCTTAGAAATCACCTTTTCCATTTCCTATCTCCCAAACAGAACTCTAATTTCCAACCACATGTCCAGAACAAGAGTAACCCACGTGACAATTGACCTGCTAAGCCAGTCACTTACTGTTCGTAGCCTATAATACCTGCAAGACCCCGCATCGTTTTGTTGCGTAGGTGTCCGTGTAAACCACACGTCATTTCCATTTTTCTGGTTATTTCCGGCGGCAACCGCGAGACGCATCAACTTCTTCTGGTACAAATTTTTCTCTCTTTTTTTCACCAGAATCCCACAAGACTTTTACCTCAGAGTCGCTTCTTTATGCAATTATACTTCTGGCTGTTATGTGTCATGTCATAGAATTATGTCAATGCTGATTTTATTTTATTTTTGGCATTAATTTGTTGTGCTCTAAGTTATTGTATTTATTGTTATCAGAATTTGAGATTGCGATGTGGTTAATGAATGAGAGGTGGCGAGGTCTGGTTTTTGAGATTACATGGTTGATCATGGTGATTAGTTTGCTTATTTATCTTTTTGGGAAATTCTGATTGATTTGTGTATCAAGTGATGCTCTTTATGAATGGTGGGTTTTGAGTTTGTGGTGAGAATCCATGAAACTTTTATCAAGAAAGGACTGGGCTGTTGTTAATTTTAGCTAAGTTATGGTTTTATTGTTCGCAAGATTTATGATCAAAGTAGTAATAGGTTAATTTAATTCCGTGGGTAGAATACCATTTTTTAATTTCTGATTTCATGGAGTACTAGGGATTTTATTTATTTGACTGTGATTGGAAATTTCACTTATTTTTCACCTTTTCTGTTAAGTTCTCAAGTGGGGTTTTTTTCTATATTGTTTCCAGAAAAGGAAGCAATGGATTTTTTGCTTGAGGGAACAAATGAGGACGCATCTGAATGCCATTTTGATGACAAGGACATTCAGAGATGCCCATTTTTGAGGAACATCAACAAGCCAACCAGCTTTTCGTTCTCTCCTCTGAATTTCCTTAATCCTGTAAGTTGTTGACCTTTGAAATGAGCACCATCTTGCCTTTTGATCTGTGCAGTTGGTTTATTTTATTTTTCTGGTTGCAAAAGTTGGTCAAGTACCTTAAATTTGACCTCTTATCTCTGTTTCTTAAGGTACAAGGAGCTAAAGGTCCAATTTTTGAAGATGGCCCGAATTTTGGTATGGCGTTTAAGCTCTTTCATGGCAAGGATGGGGTTGTCCCACTCTCAAATCAGTCCAGCTTTTATGATAACACTTTGGAACCCGAGCCTGCTCCTCAGTTCAATCCCTTAGCTGCAAAAGCTGCCACCATCAGTCTGTCCGCATTTGGTCCTGGTGGACCGTTTGGCTTTGGTTCCTTCAATGATAAGTGGAAGAATCAGAAAAAGAAATCAGAATCAGCTAGCAAGAAAGAACCATCTTCTCAGGTAGATGAACACTCTTTACCTGAATATAATTGATTTGGATGCAGGGAATCATTTTGAACTCAAATGTAAGAGAAAAATATGTTTCTTGTTCCTGTGGTATAGCAAACATATTTAATTCAGGTGAATGATCCAATCATGCCATATTGAAACAAATATATTGAGGCAACAGATTTCAACAATGGTTTGTTTGTGAAACATGGTATATAAACTAGAAATGGATATCGTCTTGCTTTTGTGGACTGAAATTGTTCCTTTTGACTCTTGAGTTACTTGTCCTGCGAATGACCATAACCACAGTGCTATTCACAATGTGTTATGTTTTTGAATTTCCAGAAAGGAAACACTTCAAAACATGAGGCAATGGGAAACGAATGGCTGGAAACAGGCAACTGCCCCATAGCTAAGTCCTATAGAGCTGTGAGCCGTGTACTCCCACTAGTAGCATCGACTCTTCAGCCACCCCCTAGCATGAAGCTTAGGTGTCCGCCTGCTATAGTTGCGGCAAGGGCTGCCCTAGCCCGGACTGCCCTTGTTAAAAACTTGAGACCTCAGCCACTACCTGCAAAGATGCTTGTCATTGCTCTGTTGGGCATGGCCGTGAATGTACCATTGGGCATGTGGAAGGAACACACAGAGAAGTTCTCTCTTCAATGGTTTGCAGCTGTGCATGCAGCTGTGCCCTTCATAGCCATGCTAAGGAAGTCTGTCTTGATGCCAAAAACTGCCATGGCACTGACCATTGGAGCTTCTATCCTAGGGCAGATTATTGGTTCTAGAGCTGAGAGGCACCGGTTGAAAACTGTGGCTAGCAAGGAAAGGTTGGAAGTAAAAACAGCAATTGCTGCTGCCGTTGACAGATACAGCCCAAGCCAGGTCAGTGGCAATGCTGGCACTAATTGTGGTACAGAGATGTTATGGGACCCTCTTCTTATTAAGGCTAGCGGAAGCAAATCATCTACCAATGTTTGTTTCTAACAACACAAACTGAGTGGAATGGAATAAAAAAAACGGCAGCAGTATTCATGCGAATAATGCCAAGATTTGGAGATTAAACTTTCAGTGAAGCCTATGGCATGTAACATATGAAGTGTTTATTTCTTGTGCTTTTTATGTAACATGAGTTGCAACTCAATCATAAGGGCATCTCCAACGTACGAGGCAAAAGAAAAGCCAATGGTAAAAGGATAGCTAAAATGACTTCTCTTTCAAAAATGCTGTTCGTACATACCTCCATCAAAGTGGAAACAATTAAAAAAAAAGAAGCCATGTGAAAAAAAATAAAACTTAAAACTCTTTAAAGAAAAAGTGAAGTATTTCTTCCTCGCTCTTCAATACAATTAATTCTTCAAATAATTTTTTTTATTGGAGTATACAATAACTAAAAAAAAAAACTATATTTATACTACGCAAAATACCATATTAACATTTTGGGACTTCAAAATAGCATTTGAGATGCACTAATCAAATGATTCTCAACCTTATATTCTGAGAACTATTTCCTTCCTGAAATAAAATATCAGGATTCACCTTATATGCTGTCATCCTCAAAGCACAGCTGTATGGTTGAAGTGCTCTCCAGGAAAATTTCAAGATCGGGACGGAGGTTTAATTTCCCTTGGAAATCAAATAAATCCTTCCAGCTTCAATCCGGTTGTAGAATTGGTCAGCCACTTGATTAAAGCAGGTTGCTTTGATTTCTCCACCATCACAATCAAGAAGATCAAAGGAGAAAACTTTGTCATCCCCACGAGTATTATTATAGTGCCCGAGTTCTGCTTTTGTCATCGCCCTGGCCTTGATTGTCCGCCTACCATGGTATGGATTCAATGCAGTAATTGGAACGATCCTAGGAGGAGCTTCATTCCTGGCAACTGATCCTCTGTTACTGTACGTCAGGGATGGTTGCTGATATGCTGACTGCGGGGGGCAAGATTAACGGCCCATATGAGGCTGTGGAGTTTCTGATCTGGGGTTGCGGAGGCCTGCATACTGTTTAGCATACAACCCACTTGATGGAACTGATACAGGTGATCCAGCAGCAGCTTCTACTTACAGATAAAATGGAGGAGCATTTGTTGGAGCAAACCTTCCTGAGCCATAATTTCTAGAAGGAGAAGTATCATGAGACTGATTTATCTCAGGGCTGTGTACAAATGCCACAGACCTATTGATTTCCAACCATGCCACCATGAACTGAGCTGGTACCAAATGACTGAAGACTTGCATTGACTCTTCCTGGTTGATCATCTGACGGTGATGAAGGCCCTGAAGATTTTTGAGCCGATACAGGATTTCCAATTAGCTCACATCCTTCTGCTATCAGAGCCAATTCAAGAACAATAATAATCCTGAATTCAATGAACAAACAACATTACCAACAAGAACATAACATAGCACTAAAAAAGGGAGTACAGTTTAATTGCTCCAAAAACTACTGGTATTATTAAGATTTCCACTTCAAGATGCGTGCGAAAGTCTATATTTTTCACATAGATTCCTGAGGCATATGCACCGGCACCCACACAAAAGCTTTCAAAAGAAAATGGTGTGTCAACACCGCAGCGGATACTTAAACCCTCAACGAGCAAGTTATATTAATAACAGAAACAAACCTAATTTACCTATCATCCATTTTTAAATTTGATAAATTAATTTGAATTAATTTAAATATTTTTAATTAAATTATTTTTTATTTTTTATTTAATATTAAAATTATTAGAATTAAAATTCAAAATTTATTTTTTATAAGATTATAATAATAATCTCATAAATATAAATTTAACAAATTAACTCGAATCAATTTAATATTTTATCATTTTAATATATTAAAAAATATTATATTAAATTTTTTATTTGAATTAAATTATATTCTTATCAATTATTTAAATTATATTTAAACTTGTTAAATTGATCATTAATCCCCATGTTATTTTAAAAAATATTATATTAAAAAAAACATTAGCATATCCTGAATATTTTTTTAAGATTTAAAAACCATGATCCGACTGCCTCGAATAGTAACGCAAGCCAATTATCTGATACAATCGTATGTATCCTGGCAAAGTAAATGTGTGATAGATGTTCAAGAGAGTCTTTGGTATTTACCTAAAAAATGAACTACTTTTGTTTTATCTTTGCATCAAAAGGTATTGACTTCTAAAATATTTAATTTGACTGAAAAACGTTATTGTTTCGTTTTAATATCTATTTTTGAAAAATACTTAACGTATAATTTTGCCTTTATTCATCCAAAGTTTTTGAGATGCTTCGCAATCTACAATTATTATTATATTATTATTATTTTATACATTTTCTAAAAGAAAAAGGTGTTTCCATGTAAAAATAGTATATTTGTAAAATCTTTTATTTTTTTAGGTATTGTATTTGTGACAAATCTATAAATTTTTGAATATTTTTTTATAAAAGTAAATTGTTTAGATTTTTTTCTCTTTTTTCTCTTTACACTTTGCATTTATTACTTTATACTTTCTCTATTTATAACCATTCCTTTTGTTTTTACCTTCATTTATATATATATATATATGTATGTATGTGTGTCTGTGTGTGTGTGTATACATTTTTTTTCCCATCTTTTCTCTTTACATTCTTTTGGAAAAAAAATTATTATTTTTTATTCTTTATAAAAAAATATTATATCAAGAATAAAATGAAATAGTATTTCACTACAGTAATTGCAACTTTATCTCATTTTTTTACCACATGAAAAATTAACTTGAAATTCTAAACATTTTTATTAATGCTTATGATCTTCATTTTATTTTATTTTATATAATTATTGATGTTTTGCTTTATAATTATATTATTTTACTTGATATTAACAATACATTAATAATACTTACACATTTATTTTTTTGCCTTCAACAAAATTTATTTAACTAACAGCAAGATAAGTCAAATAAATGTGTAAATATTTTTTTTGTATTTATTGGCATGGATGAGACTCAACTTATTTAATAAAATATATACATAGGATTTTTAATTTATTATTAGAATTTTTTTTTGTCAAAAAACATTAAAAAAACCTATATATTTATTTTTTTATAAAAAATATTCAATTCATGGTTTGAAATAGCTAGTTACGTACCATACGTTCAAGTTCTCCCATGCAATACAAATCTTAATGAATGTGTTTGATGATTTTGTGCATGCGTTTTTATAAAAGTGATTTTCAACAAAAAAAAAAAAAAAAAAAAAGGAATTTATGTTTTTCTAGTATTTGGTGATTTTGTGCATGTTTGTCAGAACCTTTTTTTTCCTAGTTTGAAATAGAAACCTCATTTGCCCCTTTTGGGCCAAAGGTACTTTTCTTGAAGTTCTGCTATAGCATGTATATTATCATGAGTAGGATTATTATTGAGTTTTCAGGGTGAAAAATATTCTGTTGAAGTTTAGGAAAAAAATTGTTATAAATAATACTCTCTTAAAATATTTACAAGTCATCTTGAATATCAATCAAAACTTAGTTTCTACTGTGAACCTAGTAGTATTTAAGAAATTAAATTCTCTTTAATAAATTCTAAATCAAATTGGGTTCAAGAGAGCTCGAGATCGACCTTGAATAACATGGTCTGTCGAGGAAGGTCGATGCCAGACCTTACCGAACAAACGGGCACCCTGCACGAGCACCAAGCAAAGCTGCAAAATGCAGGTAAAAATAAAATGAATCATCATCAAATCATTTAACAAAGGCTTTTGTTTTGTCTTCACACGGCCAGCGATTCACTTAATTTAGCACGAGTTCACAATTACACTTGGGGAACCTGAAACCTTTTGTAATTGTCAAATTGTACACATCCATCGATTTAGAACAGAGACAACCAGCCAGGCTATGATGGTAGAGACAAAACCAGGCAGTAAGAACTTGAGCATGTTCAATGTATTAAAGCATGTCCGCAAACTACGAATCCTTGAAACTTCTAAAACTCAATTGGCATTTTAAAAAGTTATGGTAGAGACTAAATGTCGGAAATATGAGAGAACCCAGTTCAAGATGAAACAACAAAAACTCAACATCCCACTCAAAAAACCCACTTGACAGTGTCAAACTCTACTTCTTCTCTTCCTTTTCAGCTTCTGCAGCCCTCTTCAACCTGACACCAACATGGCGTGCATTTGTTCGCTCCGCACGGAGCTTGTCATAAGCCTTGAATGACTTCATCTCTGCAGTGACCTTCACAAGCTCCACAGATGGCTTCTCTCGTACAATAGGCATAAAATGTCCTTGCACTTGGGTAGCAGTTGCCAGTTCCTCAGGAGCAGAATCACCAGCCTGCAAAATAAATGTATAAATATTACATTCCATGTAAAAAGAAAGACAATCATACTATTACTCTGCCATGGTACTCTGCCATACCACAGAAAGTACCTTGGACTTGCGAGCGCGTCTTGGAAAGACAACCAATTTGGCCTTGTATGTTTTCAGCCTCTGAACATTAGTTTGGAGACCCTCCAAGGAGCGATTCCTACGACGGTGATCAACAGCAATTCCTATCGTGGGAGCTAGTTTCTTTGGAATACCAGCAGCCTGGTGAAGGAAAAAGAAATGGGTTATTCATCATACAATACTTATAAAAATATCCATAGTGACCATATAAACACAAATATGCAAAATATTAGATAGAAAGAGAAAACTGTTCTAAAGACTTGCAAGACCTAAAACAAATTTACATATTCCTGCTCACAAAGCAATGTACCCCGAATACCAGATATATATACATATCCATCTCCAATTACTGTAACGCAAAACACTACAAGTTAGAATCTGAAACCGGGTACAGAAAAAACACAACCCTGCATATAAGTAAATATAGACACCATAACCTGGAATATACAATTAATAGCAAAAAAAACAATTAGCCATTTTGGAGCCTAGAAAATGGTTAAAAATAAAAAAGCAGTCAACAAAAACAGGAAAAAGAAAACCAACTGACCTTGAGTTCTTCAAGAGAAAAACCCCTACCAGCTCTCACTTTCATATTATACTTCAAAGTCTGGCCATGTACAATGGGTCGAAGAGGTCCAGCTGTAGGCCGGGGAAAGATTTTGACAGCCTTCTTCTGACGAGCTGAAAAATTTTACATAGATAATAAAAATATTGTAACTAAAAGTACACAATGGGTCACATGTGCAGTATATGCACATGCATGGATCATGTATGAGTCTGTTCTATTACAGATATTAACAGGAAAGGTTAGCTAGAGGCTTCTCACCAATGCGTCTGCGGGTCTTTCGAGCTGGTTGGTTAAACCATGTCTTGACATAGTTTTGCCAGTGCTTCTTGAAGTGACCATTGGGCACAACATTGTTATGCTTAACCATGTCTTACCTGAAACAGTATGTGAGTTGCGGAGTTAGAGACAGTACATTGTTCTACTGATGCAAAATGAATGGATCTGGCAACATCGAGATGGCAAAACTTAAAGTAATAATAACACAATCACAGTAATTTCAATTTGTTTATACCAAAACACTGTGAACACTACCTTCTGAAAACAAAACTATTTAGTTACTTAAGGTAACCATTAAAGGTCTTCAAACTCATTCATAAATAAAAATAAGATACTTAAATAAAAATAAGATACTTAAAAAAAATAAAAGCATTCAATGGCAGGCTGGCAAGAAAGCAAGGAGAGCAGAAAATAACTCAACCCACAATTCTAACGACCTGTCCAGGTCGTTAGAACACAATGACTCAATCATTCCAAAGCATTATAGGCTCATTCAAAATATTGAGAATTTAAATATCGTGGTGACACTAGCGACTCGATACAAAATAAGCTACACGTCGAAGCAGCAGGATAGAACACACAGGCTAAAAAAAGGAAAAAACCCAAAACAGAAAATCACTTAGAAACTCTTGTGAAAAGGAAGGTAACAGACATCAACTAGTTTGAAAATAAAGTGAACACAATTCCACAAATAATAGAAGTAAATCATAGTTCTTTACCCCTTTCAGTTTCTCAGGGCCCAAACATGTATATAAGCGATTACAGAAAGAAGCAAAAGCATAAACAGAACTGTAAGAAATCCTTAAAAGTGATCAGATCCAACAACGTCCTTCGCAAAGGAAACAGAATACAAGGAAAAGATTACCCAAGTTCTGGGTTACTTACAAAATACAAAAAAATCAAGAATCAAAATTGTAGTAAAAGAGGAGAGGAGATGCCGAGAGATACCTGTTAGCGAGAGAAGGGCGGCTATCAATTACAAATGAAAGCTGTAGAATTTTTTAGGGTTAGCTTCGTTTATATTAAATAAGCTTCTCAAAAAACCCTAGGGACTCTTGGGCCTGGGGTTCGGTTACTGCCTATCTTCAATGGACTCCTTTGAGCTATCAAATTCAGCCCAGTTCACCATAATTTTTAATTATTTTATAAGACCTTTCCTAAAATATATCCTTGAATTATTTATTGGAATAATATTAATTTTACTCTCAAACTATTTTTTATTAATTTTATTCTATAATTATTTGATTTTTTAACTAATGAATTTTGAATTAGTAAAAACAATTAAGCTTTCAACAAAATTATAACTCATAAAATTAAAGCTTTCATGAAAATTTAAATTGAAAAGTCCATGAAAAATATTTCCCCTAAAGTATGTTTTCTTACTAAATATAAAATTTTATTATTTGTCAAATATTATTAGATTATTTTTAAAAGGCTTAAATGATCCCTGAGTAATTGATAATCAATTTTTTTATATCAAATAAGAAAAAAAATAATAAATAAAATTTAATTAGTTTTTTATTTGTATTTTGTATTTTAAAATTAAAATATTTTTAAGAGAATCACTTCAAGCATCCCAAACTTTGCTTGTGATTAGATTTTCTCTTTATAATTTTATAAATCACTGATACATGCTAAAGTTTCTAATTTGTATAGGAATTTACTTTCTTATTTAAGTAAGATTCTTTTTTATTTTTTAAATTATTTTGATATATATATTTTTGAACGACAATTAAAAGACTTCCAATCACCCCCAGATGTGCTGTGCTGACTATGGATGTCACCAGTCACGATGATCACTAAGAGAAAATCCCGACAAAAACCTTACGCCATTGATCGATTAGAGTGATTATTCTTGACTGTGATTAGCCCACATGCACCGCTTTCCCTCTCAAAAAAAAAAAAAAAAACAAAAAAATAGCTATATCTCTTCTTCCTTCTCCACTCAAATAAAAGAAAACCCTCTCACACCCGAGTCTCCGATCACCGGATTAATGATTCCGGTGACCGGCTTTTTAACCCAAATCCCAGCAATCTGTGTGCACTGATAATAGTATAGTATTGTATAGCATAGCATAGCGGTAGTGATGGATGTTAGTGATGATGAAATGGAAAAGGAAACAGAAACCCCTGAAAATGGGAAAAAGGGTTTCATATATCTAGCCTTTCGATTAACTTTAGCTCTTCTTTTCCCAATCTTTGCCTTCCTTTCCTTGTCAATATTAGTAGGCTTTTTAGCATTTTTCATGGGTCATTTGTCAATTACAACTCCCCTCTCTCTTCCCTCTCAGTGCAAGATACTCTCCAGCAGTACGTCCCTCTCACTGTTACCCATGTGATTCTAAACTTGAATTAATATCTGTTTTTTACATATTTTTTCGTTTTTGATACAATGAGTTTTTGTTGATCTATTCATTTGTTTTGGTTTGTTTTTGAATGGTGTAATGGGTTGTTTTGTTTTTCAGGTGTGGATCTTAGATCATCTAAGGTTTGTGAGCCTGGGTTTTTGAATTATAAAGCCAAGCATGTGTTTTATCCATATAACAGAAGCAAATTTCGCTGTCGCTATGATTACTACTGGGCTTCAGTGTTCGAGGTGATTTTATCTTGTTCTTTTCAGCAAGTATACGTGATTTCTATATTGCAAGGGATTAGGAGTATCTGCTGCTAAAATGATTTCTTGTGATAACTGAGGTCCGTTGTTTTGCTAGACTAATGCGTAGTGGGAGTGGAAAAGAAAGGGAGAATGTACTCCTTGAATACTTGAAATACCAAAAGTAGATTTGAACTTAAAATTAGTTAGACAGGTAACTTAGAAGTTGAGATTATGCAAGCTAAAAACTATGGTGATTCCAATAATTCATTCTCAAAACACTTGAAGTTTATGAGAGCATGGTCTTGTGCCATGATGTGGAATGGCATTACTTGGAACATTTCAGCTTGAAATTTGTTGTCGGGTTAATAGATGCACAGGGGCTGGTGTTTGTATGGAATGTCATGATCATTGCTGGTCTTGTTCATTATGTAGAAGTTCCAGTTGAAGGATATCCTAATTCCTTACCCCTTAGGAGTATCTTCTACTTTCAGTCATCACAAAGTTTGTATACTGATAAATAACACTGGTTTTCTAGTTTGGTTAAGATTAACATTTAATTGATAGGAGTCCAGATCCTATTCTAACTCAAGAGTATTGTAATCTTCAAACCTTTCAATGCAAAAGGGAAGATTTTGTATAGTTCTTTTGTATTTGATTAGAAGCATCTATTACCCTAAGGGAGAACGAGTGTAAAATCTGGATACATCACTCCCAATAGAGGTGATATCAAAGGATGAAACGGGGAACCTCTCACTATGATATAAACTCTTCTCTATATCAGTGGGTGCTCTCAATCCTTTGTTTTATCACTAATCTCCAAGGATCTATGATCCAAAGGGAGATCAGGAAGTGCAAAATTTGGATTCATCATCCCCTATAAGAGGTCATATCAAAGGATTAAACCAGGGACCTCTCACTATGATATAATATCTTCTTTATATCAGTGGATCCTTTCAATCTTTTGGTATGTAACAAATCTCTTAACTTTGTTATGTACTATTAAAGTTCCTATCTTTTTGTTTAAAGAAGAAACACCATATTTGTTGGGTCTGTGGAAGCTGTATTTGAAGAAAATTGTGTTGTTACTCATTACAAGAGGAGACAACGGAAGGCTTGTTTCTTACATGCCACCTTAATAATCTTTATATGATGCAACACTGGTTCCTTGTTGTTTCCTATCGTACCTTGGATTATAGTCAATGTACCCCACATTCTTCGAAGGAACATGCGCAAATAGATAGTTGCCTCTGTTATTTTGTTGTCATCATTGTTCTATATGACTGTTATTTCAGGTCATGCTTATGCCAATGTGAAAGCTGCCTTCTATGTGCCATCAGTACATTTTCTGGATGAATAGGCACAAGACTTCACTTCCCCATTTTACTTAGCTTAGCTGATGATCTGATTGAAGACTTACTCTAGATGACTCATGATCAACTCTCCCCTCTCTCTCTCTCTCTCTCTCTCTCTAACACATACATCCATAATCCTGCTAAATCTCTGGAAACTCTATGCAGGTAGTACTCCGAGACAGATTAGATACACGAGAGGGCAACAAATATTCTGTTAATTTGTCTCCATTGCCTGTTTTTCAACCTTTCATAATTGTCTTTGATCAATAAATTCTAGCAGATTAGAAAATTTGCTTTTGATTTTTGTATTATATATCTGCACGTGCTGTTTCTGTATTTGCTTTGATGTAGCTATAGAGTTGACAATATCTTAATATTAGTTTTACAGTGCACAGTCAATAGAAAAATTTCAACATTTAGCATATGGCTATGAAAGAAAATGGAAATATATTACATGTATATGAGCAGATCCTCTAATAATATGTTTGGAGCTCCTCATTTTCCCCAGTTCAGAAACCTCTCAGTGGCTGTAGTTTCACATGAATCCAACCTGTGCTTTTGGATCGGGTTGAGTTAGGATTTCAAAGTACCACTTCTGCAAGTTTCATGCTTGCACATTTCAAATTCTCATTACAACATATAGTCAAGTTTTGCACACCCTTGAGCGTGTATCTGACTAGTTTTAGAAGTGCAATGGGTTGAGGCATTGGTGTCAAGAATGGGTCTTTTTAATATTATTTTTTGTCAACTTTCCATTTTCAGGTGGAATACAAAGATCACTCTTTGGGTCAAACACGATTTGCATTAGCAGAGGCTCCAAATGAGGCCCTACCTCTAAATTGCCGGCCTAATTTTGGTGCTGCATGGTTGACCAAAGATAAATTCAAGGTAGGGATTGCAAAGCTTCCAGTCTCCCTCATTGTTATTGCAATTTAAGTCAAATTTCCTCAAGTCTAGTATTTTATTCTTTTCTACTCATTCTCCTCAGGTTAATAAAACCTACGACTGCTGGTATACGTCTGGCATTTTGAAAGTGAGCTTATATCGTGATGATCTTTTCAGTTGTCAAGCAAAAGATCCATCTCAAGTTGAGATGGTTAAACGTTTTTTCATACTGTGAGTATTTTTTTAATAGAAAAATAACACTCAATCTTATTTACTTTACATATATTCTGTGCATTTTTATGGCATTTGATGTCTTCAATATAGATGGTGAATTTACATATCCAAACTAGATGAAGGATGGCCAAGGGATCATCTTGAGTGTGTAAAGCAGTTTGATTTGACTGTCTTGATAGATATGAGTTAATGATAGTTATGTATTTCTGCTAATATTAGTGGCCATTTGTTAACATGGATATGCCTTTTATTTTTATGGTCCTCACCCATCAGAGTGCTCATCTATCATTAAATGAGTTGAATATAATTTTCATTTCTCCACATGTTCTGGTAGAAAGTGCAGTCCTTGTATGATTAAACCTATACTGCTCCTATATTTTTGGAAATGGTTAGCTGCAAATGATGTAAATGCTAGGCATCTGTTTGCAATTGTTGTGTGGCTTTGGCAGTATTTAATGTAAAATCGCTGGCTTTTATATGTTCAGATCTAAGGAGATGTTACACTCCTCGTTGGTTCCAAAGAAAGGAAAGGCTGGCAATTGGAGGTGGGAAACAATAGCTGGAGTTATTGCTGGTTTTTCAACTTCTATAATCACCATCAGCTTTATAATAATCCTCCAGCACATAAAATCATGGTTTCGTCTAACCCCTGTAGCTAGGATGTTTTCTTACACCAATATAGTCTTCTTCAAGCGCGCTTGTTTTCTTGTGGCGTACATTTCTTTTATGGGTTGGTTGACAATCCAGTATGGGAAAAGACTTGGTCTGCCTGAGATCCGCAGAGTTTATAATTACTAGCAGCATTCTTTTTGCGAGTGCCAATTCCTTTTTTCTCTTCCTGGATCCTGGATGCTGCAATTCGACACATTCCTGGCCCAAAGGTACGTGATTCCTGTGGTTGCCAGATGTGTTTTGATAGAGTAAACGCTGAGCAACTTATGTATCTTGCTGGGAAAGTCTTTCATGTATAGGCATCATATTATACGGGGGGGGGGGGGGGGGGAGTGTTTCCATTTTTTCAAATGAACGATTTGTATTATATTGTAAAATCTTGTTTTGAAGGCCATGATTAATAGAAGAGAGAATATCTGTCTTTTCTGCTCCCTGCGAAGGATACGAGCACGACAGAGTTTATGTCTCCTAGTACTTTCTTATGCCTGGGAAAGATGCAAGAATAAACTTCCTCAATCCCCAATATGTTGATTGTGGTAGAACCTCAAGGGAAACGCAAACAATCTCTTACAAAAAGAGGGATGGAAGTGGTTCCAAAATTATCCACGCACATCAGCGATCATCAGAAGCAAGTTGACTATTAAACACGTAGACTAGAACCATCTCTCAGGATAAAAGCCTCCCAGCGTGATATATTTACACCCAGCTGGTTCATCCTTATAGAAATTTAAAAATTTACATCGCTTTCACAGTTTATCAGATACGGCATACCATGCAGTTACTTTCATGCACATATGATGAACAAACAAGTCACAACACCTGCACTGGAAAATTGAGGCTAGGTTTAACATCTTGGGTAGGGTTTTCTTAGATTACTAGATTGGGTCTTCCAGAATTACTGCAGCTTTCGCAAAAGATTTGCCGCTTACACGGTGCACCAGTGTGTGGTATGCAAGAGTCAAAGGGAGAGTAACTTCTACCACATCTTCCCTGTGTCTGCTAGAATCCTCTCAATTTCTTCGAAGAGGCGTTCTTTTTCATCAGTCAACTCTTCATTCTGTTTCTGAAGCTCCTCTATCTGCTTAGTCTGCTCAGAATCCTTCCTGTAGTAGTATTTCACAGTAATTGATTACTAGACAAACAATTTCTAGATCATAACGCAGACGTCAATCAAAACAAACATGATAGGAGAAATGAAATCTCAATGCATTCCTTGACAGCTCAATTGGAAGCACTTTAGTTCTAACCCTGTCATTACCTGTTCATGAAAGACAGGTTCAGCTTGAGTGATCGTACTTCCTTCTCGAGATTTTCACATCGCTTAAGGATTGACTGCATATCGGTCGGGATTGCTGGAGTCATATTCCGTTCCTTTGCCTCCGCCATTCTAACATCACCAAAGAATTCATTGTAAATCAAACCTAGCAGGAAATAGCTATCCTCTAAAACCTGTACATGCTTTCTTTGTAAGACTAATTTCGAGTTCTGTTATCCTCGTATAGCTCATGAGGTCTAGTGGTGCAAATTGGAGCAGTCTGGATCTTCCATATATCCTTATGCTAAACACTTCAACGAAAGGATAATTAGCCATTTGATTTTCTCAGTTGTTTAACCGTAATGCTTGAGTCCTGATATCGTAAGTATCTGACAGTACAACTGCTAACCATTAACTGACTGATCAATCTATTCCAGATGAAGGTCATATCAAAATGATTCTGAAAGTTTGAATAACAGAGCCAATAAAGCTGAGAGATTAAGTTCAGCTTACTTCCGCGAACGTTCCACTCTCCGCTTTTTAGTTGGGTCCGCCTTGTCCACTGCATAAATCTGGTCGGTCAGATATTGCATACCAATATACTAATGCAGCGAAGCATCTGAATAGGTTTTATGCTTTGCTTAAATCACAATAAGCATACCAGATGAAATGAATGAAGTTTTCAAGCACAATATTACCGGGTGATAATAAAGAAGAACTACAGGAAAATTGTGTTCCGCAAGCAAAACTGGCAGTTGCAGATTTAGTGATTTTAGTATTAAGTTTTCCTGTTCAAGAACTACGTTTCTGTATCATGAACAAATCGAAACTAATAGTGCAACGCATTCATGTTGACTCCTCCTTTCAGTAATGCCAGGCATAGGAAAGCCAACTGTCATGCTGGTGAGATTCTTAAGGATAAGGTGATTTACCTGAACCTGCCGAAGTCTCGGATCCATATCGGATGAGCTCCCCCTTCTACAAGAGAGAAAGGAAGTAGGTAAAGAAATTCATGTTTAATCAGAGTACTTTGTTCTCCATTGAAGCGTGTAAGATACCTTTCGATCGTCCTTCAAATTGTCAATTATCCGTTCTCTAAAATCTGCGTTTGAAATGTAAGATGCACGAACAAACTTAGAAACTAAATCAATCGAGTTTCAAGATAAAACAGAGGCCATTCTTTAAACTGCACACCTTTGGCTCTAGAACCATTTTCTGAACTCCTACCATTTCCAACTCGTTTCCTTGAGCTCTCACAAACGCTTAGAGTTTGACTTGAGTTGCTGGGACCATCACATGCATCAAAACCAGATGAAACTACTGGCGCAGCAGCAGAAGATTCACTTTGAGAAGGTTCTCGAGAAACTGTGCCCAGCTGAATTGGGTTAATTGTATTTACAAAACCTTCGAAGTCAAGATCCACGGGTCCTTGAACTGTCTGCAAAACCCCAGGATCCTTAACTTGACCAGATGATATTTCCTGAAAACTTCCTGGAGGAATCTCGTAAATGCCATTCCCTTTTACTTGATCGGAAGTGGAGTTGATTATAACTTCTTGAGAATGAAAAAATGCATTAAAACTATCTTCAACTGTTTCCTTCTCAATCTGGCTACCTAGCTTCTTGCGTTCCAGTGTACCCTTTAGCATGTTAACAACAGAAGAAACTTTATCTATGCTGCTCATTTGTGGGGTGTTAAAAGTAGATGAGGATGAATTGGGTGGAGACATGAACGGGCCCAGCTGATTGGCAGTGGCATGCGTAGGAGGGTCACTGAAACCATTTCGATTTACAAACTCATGTTTCACATTGTTGACACCATGCCCAGAAACATCCTGCATAGCTTCCACACCCATATTTGTCTGAGCACATTGCATAGCAACATACCTTCTCCTGCGAAACAAGTTGGACAGTGAAGCAAAGAAAACGATTTTTCTTTGTTTTGTTGGAGTAAAATTATTTCTATGACTTACAGAATGCATTCCACTACTCCTGCCAGATGTAAGATAATCATCTACGTGAAGAATTTGCAGCCAGTAGCACACTAAAGCATCGCTAACTAAAACTTATCAATGATGTGATTGTTGTGAATGTGTGCACCGTAACGCTAATACCTTAGTTCAGAGGATCGACTTCTTGTCATGGGCTGAGAACTGTGAAACCATGTCTGCGTAAGAGATGCGACACTGTCAGAAATCCAGAGTCTTATTTGAACAAAAGTTCTGCGCATAACAAATTCTAACAGGCCTAAGCCAGATATAAATTACTAGCCGGCATTGTCCTTTCAGCAGCATCCCTGATAAAAGTGGTAACAACAAAGTGATAAATCAGAATCGCTATTCTCTTGATGGCAAAGCATCGACTCTCTTGGATCATACGATATCCATATAGATTATTGAATCTAGAAATCATGTAAACTTGTACAAACAAGAGCATATGGAAGAAGGGTGCAGCTACCTGGCTGATTGTTGATTGAGGTCATTAGAAATATCATCAGATATTGGATTATTTTGTGTGAATAAAACATCATTGCTCCTTTTCTTTTGTGGTACACTTCCATGTTGCTGACTGGTCAAATTGACTAGTTCGGTGGATATCCTGTAATCGTCACTCGCGTAATTCATGTGTTATACATGTAATTGTCAGAAAGAAAACTTCTATTTCCTAACTAAACATTTTTTCAGTTATGGAATCATGATAGACAGAACTCGATGCTCAGAAATTTTTCAAACGTTGAAGGAGCAACAAATTAGATACAAGGTGTGAAGAATTTAAGGCTGAGATTGCATGACCATATTCCTTAAAGTATCACGTACTACTAAAGAATATTTGAGGAACTGAAAACTTGACAGAAGGAGCAAAGTAGCTGTGGTTGAGGGTGCAGAAAGTAGAATTCCCCATAGAATGGTGGAAAAATAGTTGTCCTCTATCAAAAACCGATCAGTTGGGAAGGATCTATTAAGCCATGCTTAGTTACAAGGGAAAAGAACTGAAGCAAAAGAGACATGCATAGTTGCCAGAACCGCCAAGAGGTTATATTATCTCAATGACACATGAAGCATTACGTGTATATTCGATTACCGCCATTATGACTCGCCTTGATGATTCCATAACAATCTCAAGCTGGCCATGTGATGAACAAGAAGGGTTTCAAAATAAAAGCTTTAAGAATTCATATATCTGCAGGGAAGGAACTCATATTTCTGCTATCCATATTTCTTAATTCTCAAACATGGCATTGCTAAGTCCGTGAGCAAATTAAGTTTTCCTAAAAAGCCAAAGGACATCAGGGTTCAATTTCAGGCATTCAGCTCCAGAGGACCCAAGAAGAACTTGTCTTTCAAACGACAGTTTCCAAATTCCAATACAGAAACAAATTACCTATGAATCGCGCCAATTGTTTAGATACTTAGAACTGAGAAGGGTAGATGATTTTCTACTATGATGTTCTTATGCAAGGGAATTGTGGGCCGGCCATGCATTTCAATCGGCTGGAACCTACTGGGTGTTTCCCAAGTTTGTGAAGGATGAATTGGTAATATAGCTTCCTTTAAGTCAAACAAACTTGTAACGTAGTTGCACGGAAATGTAGCTACATTTAGCTCCAGAGGGTGAGTTATTATGCACTTTCCACCATTAAGATTTAGTTTGCTGTATTCGAGATTTTTAAGTTAAACAACACGAGGAAAAAAAAATACCATGGCGGAAAAACCCTTCAAAACAATCTTAAAATCGAGGGCAACCTGAATTTGGAGCATGGCATGGTTTCGTCGATTCTCTATCAAAATTTACTATTTCATTCTACTCACCTTCTTGATGTTTGTCGCGTCCGATGTGCTATGCTTGTTGAGTTATAGCCATTCTGAAAGAAGAGATGTCACTCGGTTAGGGGGGGAAAATCACAGGAGGAAAAGAAATATAAAGGAAAGTGAAAACAGTGCATGAATAACAGTTTATAATGGAATGTGGCTTATAACTTCATGAAAAATTCTTATGTTTCCGAATAACACTGCAAGGCAAATGCTTTATTGTTAAACAGTCATGTACAGATTTAACAGATGTGCTCTGAATTTTTTTGGTTTAATAACTTGTATAGCGACTTCTTCAGATTATCAACCACTTGAAACAATCAATGAATCGAAAGCCTGGCAAAATTCAAAGCTGACCAATTAAATGACAAAATAATTAGACCATAACCAAGTCCATTTTAAAAAAAAATACAAATCATGATGTTTTGTCAGTCTAATATTGGTTTTCTGTCGAGGAAGATCTAGCGCTAAAAGGCGGCCAACTACATGTAATTGAGTTCTAAGTTCTGAAAACACGAACAGAAATACTCATAGTATGTATAGATGATCAGTCAATAATCCTGCAAAGGAAGAAGAAGCATATGATGAGCTCGAGCTTTCGATGCTGAAATCAAGATTAAATTTTCTTTCTTGCCTCTCCATTTGTAAGCCAGCTTTTGAACAGCTCCTCGCTGTCAGTACGAAAGTTAGGAGAGAGATTATTGAACCCCAACATCTCCATGGTGGGTACTGGCATCCCAATTGAGGTCTCCATCAAAGATTTGAGAAATGACTCCTCACTTGAATTCCTATACAAGTCTGCACACCCTCTTCCTTCTGTCTCCATCACACTTTTCTCCCCCTCACCTCTCTGATAAAAACTGAAGCTGTGCTGCTAACCACTTTCTTGAATTTACAGTTGATTTGCCTGTCAAGCTTCCCTTGTTTCTATCTATCATTTATCATATTACCTTTTCCAGAAGCAAGTAGATGTGTCAAACCTCCTTCCTCCTCAAAAAGGACTAGTAATACTTGCGACAAAAGAAAAGGGAAAAACAGAATCCTTTCAGTGGAGGAACGATCAGAAACTTCAGAGGCCGGAGACCAAAACAAGAAACTGGACTTTAGATCCCTATAATTAGGAGTTGAAAATCTAGTCAAGAGAACATGTACAAGTACAACCCTTGTTCAGTTAAAAACAAAAAAACCTACAATAATTTTGACAAATACAGGGAACACATTTTTGCAAGAAATTACACCAGGACAACCTAACTTTTACTTTTGATGTTGCACAAAAGAGACAAATGTTTCATTGTCCATCAAACTATAGGAACTCTTGATCATTATTCAGTTTGATTATTATATTTGTCCCCAAGTTGACATCAGCCATAATAATAACAACAAAATAAAATAAGAATGATATAATTTAAAGAGGTGTTTGAAAATATAATAGTAATTATTTTTTATTGTGAAATGTATTAAAATAGTATATTTTTAATTTTTAAAAAATCATTTTTACACCAATACATCAAAACAATACAAAAACATAAATATATATATAATAGGTTGTTCATCAAAATTCTTTAAAATTATTCTTTAAAATTCTTTAAAAATAAAATTCCAAACAATCTCTTAATAAACAATATAATAATAAGAAATCAAATTCAAACCTAATTAAAGACATTGAAGAAGTAGATGCTTAGCTCAAACAAATTAAAGAAATGGCCTGATGGAAGCATTGAAAGGGACCTTGTGCACTTGCCCTTTGTTTTTTGTTAAGTGATTATTTATAACATGGTGGCAGTTGGGAAGTCGTTTTCATGCCAGGGAATGCCTGATGTATGTCTCTGTATCTCTCTGGAGGGCTTTGACTGGATACCGTTTCAAAAACTTTATTATGTTTTTTATTAAAAATTAATTTTCTTATACGTTTTGAATCGTTTTAATATTAATTTTAAAAATAATTTTTTTTAAATTTATTAATTTTGATACAAAAAATATTTTAAAAAACAATTACAACTATAATCCCAAACAAATTTTTATGTGTGGGATTAAGAAAGTGACCAAAATTATTCTAATTATTTTCTTTGATACATGAAATTAGATGATATTATAACATAATAACTTCATTCGTGTTAAAATAAAATGAGTTGCTTGTTATTGATACACTAACTTTGGTCCTTGTAGTTCTTTTGAAATTTAATTTTGGTCCATTTTTATAAAATCCATTTTAGTCTCTTAATTTTACATATTTTCACTTTCAATCTATATAGTTTTAATGGCAATTCTATAGCCATGCTCACAAAAATTGCATATTAATTATTAAAAAAATATATATTTTTGACACTTCATTTAACTTTCCACAAGTTTAATTTAAAGTGGATTGTATTTGAATAAAAAAGAAATTCTTATAGGCTTAAGTAACAAAAAATACACCCACTAGCAATCAACCCAAGGTTTAAATTAGATGTACTCGCTATAAAATCTCCGAAAGTATCCAGCACATATATTTCAAATTACATAGATGTTTATATTAGTAGCATGATTTAAAAATCCAAAAATAGCATGAAAAACTAGTGAATTTATTAAGCTGCTATAGTGAACATAGAACTTGAATAAAAATCCAACAGACATGTCTCAAATTGCATGAGTACTTATATTGATAGCAGGATTTTAAAACCCAAAAATAACATGAAAAACTAGTAGATTTGTCGAGTTGCTATAGTGAACATGGGACTTGAATACTTTGGACAAGAACTATCTTTCATACTTGCGGTATATTTCTTAACTTCACTATTTAAAGGTTCAACTACTCTTAGTGAATCAGGTAACCATGATTAAACTCTTCTTGTGAAGGTTCAACTAATCTTAGTGAATCAAGTAACCATGATTAAACTCTTCTTGTTATTAATCACAAAGATTAATAGAATAATTGATTTACAAGCTCCCAACCATGACATTTAATAAAAAGATTTTAATGACATCACACCACCAAAAAAATAAGAGCTGAAATAGTTTTCATCTCATTATCTCTATCATTATCCAACACTTCACTTATTTCATCGCTCTTAAAAAATTAATATTTGGTAAACATGCTATTAAGGAATTACACTATTATGTCCTAATATATCTAATTTTTTTATGTTTATCAAGATATTCTTACCAGGATCATTGATCATGTAATAAAACAAAGTCACTATATTACTTGGATGATCTTTATACCCATAAAATAAATAATATGCAAGGCACATTTTTAGCTAAAGTATCCATAATTTAGTTATTAGAAGCATTTATTTTCTAGCTTGTTTCTATTTGAATGAGTTAGATTGCAAAGGTATATATATATCTTAGCCAAAAATCACCAAGTATCATATCTAGTAAGCTCTTATAGAAGAAACACACCATTTTATTTAATTTACTCAAATGTCTAGGGACTCTTACTAATATCTCATTTTGTCTAGTGTTTATTGGTTTGTCACTTGTATATCCTGACTTTATTTAATAAAAAATAAACATGAGGTATTTAGCATTTTCAAGATGTTTTATGTTATGGTTCAAAATCTTTTTTCATGTGATATTGAGATTCTTATAACATATAATCAAGAATTTTACAAATACTTCCACACACACGATCTTCTTCATGAAATATTTTGTTTTCAAAAACTTTAATAAAATGGTATTGTAAAAAAAAAAACAAAACATGCATCTTAAAAATAGTTAGGGCACTCATTATTAGAGCTCACTTGCTATATT